GACATTACACGAAAGTGTTGCAGAAGTCCAGCAAGTGCAAATGAGCAGAAAACACTTACTTTCGGAATCTACTCCCCAGCTATACAGTTTTACCGAGGTCCAGCTGCAAACCATCGTGAAGATCATGGCGGAAACCATTATCAATTGCCTACAGATGACGCAGAACGCCTCACAAGAACAGACTCAAGACATCACTTGTGTGATAATGGACAAGATCGTGCAGCAGACCACAGTTACACGAGAAATAGACAGTCTCCGACAGGATGGAGCACAAGAGGACAAACAACGCAACTTGGACATACTGACTACCGACAACAGTCGGCTAGTCAAGACACCGGAACATCGACATTCACAAACGCAACTGCAAGACGCAGTGACCACCCACGATCAACAGAATCTTCCAACACAGGAGACAGACAACAACAGCCAATGCAGTCTGATCTGCAGCAACGCCAACAAAGACGTATTGAACAGCAGAGATGCGCAGGTTCCGCCAACACAAGAAACGGCCGCGAGCGATCAATGCAGTCCGACTTGCAGCAATACCAACAACAAAGTGATGGACCACAGTTCTGCACAGATTCCAACAATGCCGGGGTTGACCACGGACAATCAATGCAGTCCGACCTGCAGCGCTTCCAACAACATAGCGATGGACCACAGTTATGCACAGATTCCAACAACGTCGGGGATGACCACGAACTATCATTGCAGTCCGATTTGCAGCGACACGACTTGCGAGGCGGAGAATATAGAGGTCGATTCCGAGGAGGAGTTCTAGTAGAACAAGCAACACCACCCGAACCCGTCGTCTGGCCATTACGAATTCTGCAGTGGAACATACAAGGTCTTGGAAATAAAAAACACACACTTCAGGAGGCTGCAATCAGCACGAAAGCAGATATCATCGTTTTGGAAGAAACTCTTTTCCCAGCCACGAAATCCTTCAGATTAGCTGGATATCAGCACTATGTTCTCCCGTATGAGCAGGGGAGACTAAGAGGATTAATGACCCTAGTCAGAAACACCATACCCAGCAAGAAAATAGACTCGGTTTCATGTGGGGATGGAGTAGAGGTATTAGCAGTTATAGTGAATATGGCTAATTTTGAGCTCCTCATATACAACGTCTACAAGCCCCCTAGACGTAAACTAGAAGCAGAGGCAGTGCTTGCCTTGGCCACGCAGGAAAATTTAATTCTTGCTGGAGATTTTAATGCTCATCATCCAGAGTTAGGTGCAACTGGGCCAGCCAATGCAGATGGGCGCCATTTAGCTGCAGCTCTGCGAGAAGTACCTGAAATTACACTTCTCAACACTGGGGAACCCACTCACATTCTAGGAGGTTCCCTTGATCTTACATTCATCTCCACAGCACTCCAGCAACAGGCGATGTGGGAAGTAGACCCGGTGATCACTAGTGACCACTATGCTACTGTCACGACACTCAACCTGGCACGACCTCCTACACCTCCTGCGTGGCCTCGGTGGAATTTAGGAAAGGCCAATTGGAATGTATACCAGGAAGAACTTGAAAAATGGTATGCAACGTACACGCCACCTGAGGATTTGAACATACACGAGACCAATCTGCAGGAAGCCGTTCCAGCTGCTGCGAACAAAGCTATTCCAATCATTATCACAGGTAACACGAAACGAAAGAACTATTGGTTCTATAGTAATGACGTTAAAGAACAGAACCACAGAGTCAATATCTTCAGAAAACATCTAAAGAGAAACCCCACACCAGAAGGAAGAACTCTGCTACGAGCGGTGATATCTGAAGCAAGGCGAGTTTCTCGAGAAGTAAAGGAGGCAAGATGGTTTGAGTGGTGTCAAACTCTAAATGAACATAGTAGCCTTGGCAAGATATGGGGTCAGATTAAAACTATATCAGGTCGACCAGCCCGGCCACAGGCATGTATTCAACCATTGCAGGAGGCTGAGAGACTTGCTCTCCAATTTGCAGAAAGAACAGCTTCATATCAGCTTCCTGCAATGGTCCGAAGGCAGCAAGAACACTTAAAACAAGAGAGGATGACAGTCATTCATGAGGGCATAGCTATAAATGACGAATGTGACTGTCCCTTCACCGAACAGGAACAAAGCAGAGCCAAAAAAGGTGGTAAGGACACTGCTCCAGGTGCTGATAACATTACATACTCAATGATCGCACATGCAGGTCCTGCTGGAGACCGAGGGATGTTGGACGTCATCAATGCGTCTTGGCAGCAAGGCAAACTACCGCCCTCTTGGAAGAAAGCAGACATCATACCGATTCCTAAGCCGAATGAACCTGGCAATTACAGACCCATTTCCTTAACATCATGCGTTAGTAAAACTGCAGAACGGATGGTCTTAAATAGGCTACTGTGGAAGACTGGAGACCTTCATAAACACATATTTGGCTTCACTAGAGGTGTAGGTACTGCCAACTGCATAGCAACATTACTAGGAACAGTTAACTCGGGTCCAGCTATAGTGGTCTTCCTTGATCTGGAAAAAGCATTTGAACTTGCAAGCCCGCCAGCAATACTACACACCTTAGTTAAAAAAGGTGTGAGGGGGAAAATGCTAGCATGGATTCACGATTACCTAAGTCACAGGTATGCCAGAGTAAAGTTGCAAGGACAAGTGTCGGACTACCACTTGCACGAGAATGGGACTCCACAAGGAGGAGTCCTCAGTCCTAGTCTTTTTAACATCCTTATGGAAAACCTTGTTACCATGTCCTTTACAGAAGGGGTTACATTGCTAAGCTATGCTGATGATCTAGCATTAGTCGTTACGGGTCCTTCACTTCTAAATAAAGCTCAAGGTGCTTTAGATCAAGTGACATCTGAATGCAGTGTTTTAGGGCTAAAAATATCTGCACAGAAGTCTAAGGCGATGAGACTCGGTGGCAAGGCTCCAGACAGGCACCTACGCATTCAGGACATTAACCTTCAGTGGGTTCCACAATATCGATATCTCGGAGTGTGGATTGATTTTAAGATGACATTCAATAAGCAAATTCAATATCTAAAGGAGAAAGCAAAGTCACGAATAAATATAATGAGAGCAATCACAGGGCCCCGTCTAGGAGCGGGACACAGAGTGTTGAGAATGTTTTACATACACGCCGTTCGTTCCCTGGTTGATTATGCAGCGCCTGCCTTACTCACTCTTTCTCCTGGTCAGTGGGCAAACGTTGAGGTTCTTCAAAATGATGCATTGCGAGTCATAACAGGTGCTCCCAGATGGACTAAAATCCTGAACCTAAGACTAGAGACAAAGCTAACGTCGATTGAAATAAGGGTAAAGGGGATTGCTGCGTGCATGCTGACCAAGATATTGACTAGACCTAGAATCAGTTCACTTAAAGATTTGATCACTGGAGCACTAACTCTGGACAGAAGAGCCTCCAATAGCAACAGGTGGACCCATTGTGCGATAAACGCCATCGATACGTTCGATATGGCAAACACAGTCACTGAGAGGGGTGTCGACGACATACATGCAGACTTTGTTATGCAAGCCCCTTGGGAATCTCTGCCAGCAGACTTTCAGATTATGGCTCTTGACGGAAAGAAGACCCAGACACATCCTCATCTGCTACATCACATTGCACAGATGCATATCGAAGCAAATATGGCATCCAACAGCTTCACTTACTTCACGGATGGGTCAGTAGACCAGCAGGGACAGGAAACCGGAGCTGCAGTTAAAGCAGGAAACTCTGTATATAGTTGGAGGCTCTCAAATGGGTGTTCGACTTTACAGACTGAGATGCTAGCCATTCAAAAGGCTTTGGAACATGCTCTTGCTGAACACCACCAACACGTTATCGTCCATACAGATTCGAGAACCGCCATTGAAACCTTGCAACAGGAACACATATGTGATAACATCCATCTGATCACCAATGTCTTATCATTCATGCACACACTCCACCGACAAGGCCGACGGGTGCTTATCAACTGGGTGCCAAGTCATGTGGGACTATTAGGTAATGACATTGCAGACGAAGCTGCAAAACTTGCTACTAAGAGGAGGAATGTAGACATTTCCATACCACCGAGTCTCTCCCAGATGAAGAAAGTGATTCGAAACAGAGCAATGCGAAGGCTGTACAGTGACCACGACGCAGCAGTTGCAACATCAGGATCTGCGGGTTGGTACAAGAATTCCACCAACTACGAACCACTTAGTTTGATGAAAGGGAGCAGTAGAACAACAGAAGTGCACTTACATCACATCAGGCTTGGATACCCATGTGCATGGGAAATAGGCTTACGGGTTCCGGAAGGTGAGAGGAAATGTCAACACTGTGGAGAAATGCCCGACAGACCACTGGAACATTATCTAACACAGTGCACAGTTACAAACCCGTTAAGATTTCACCTTCGATTCGACAGAGCAGAGGAAGTTGTTAAACACATATGGCAAAATCTTACTGAAGCGACCATACGGGTCATACATACTCATCCTCCGCCCAGGTAAACCAGAAACGAGCATCACTTAGTGGGCCAGCCAGAGGCTTAGGGCCCGCGCAGGATTATCCCTGCTAAAAAGAAAAAAAAAAAAAAAAAAAAAATGTTGTGGGGTCGCATCCCGGGCAAGGGTTCAACACAGCTTACTTTCGAGAAAAGTTCGACATTTCCGACCAACAAAATCAATAATTACTTAACCTTACCTAGTTCCATTTTGACAACCTTTTGTCGGTGTCCTCAGAGGTGGAGGTTATACTTGGGGCTACATAACGACTCACATATTATATGAGGAAAAGTTGTATCAGTTAACTTGGCTGTATTCCAGCACATGTTGACTGTCCTTATTCCAGCATATGTTGACTATCTTCATTCCAGCATATGTTGAGTGTCTTTATCCCAGCATATGTTGACTGTCTTTATCCCAGCATATTTTGACTGTCTTTATCCCAGCATATGTTGACGAACGTCAAGACAAGACAGTCGTATCTTTAAGAGAAACGTTCACTACATAACGTAAGGGTCCCCTACATAGAGCCCCCATGTTGTAGAGCCCCATGATGTACAGCCCCATGATGTAGAGCCCCATGATGTAGAGCCCCATGATATAGAGTTCCATGATGTAGAGCCCCATGATGTAGCGCCCCATAATGTAGCGCCCCATGATGTACAGCCCCATGATGTAGAGCCCCATGATGTAGAGCCCCATGATGTAGAGCTCCATGATGCAGAGCCCCATGATTTAGAGCCCCATGATGTAGAGCCCCATAATGTAGCGCCACATGATGTAGAAGCCCATGATGTAGAGCCCCATGATGTAGCGCACCATGATGTAGAGCCCCATGATGTAGAGCCCATAATGTAGAGCCCCATGAAGTAGAGCCCAATGATGAAGAGCCCCATGATGTAGAGCCCCATGATGTAGAGCCCCATGATGTTGAGCTCCAGGGCATAGAGCTTAAAGATGTAGAGTTCCAAGACTCAGATTTCCTCTACGTCGTAGAATTCTATTCCAGTTGTGTTATCCTGCAGGGATACGCCGTTGTTGTCCTGAAGGCTGCAGGGATACGCCGTTGTTGTCCTGAAGGCTGCAGAGATACGCCGTTGTTGTCCTGAAGGCTGCAGGGATACGCCGTTGTTGTCCTGAAGGCTGCAGAGATACGCCGTTGTTGTCCTGAAGGCTGCAGAGATACGCCGTTGTTGTCCTGAAGGCTGCAGAGATACGCCGTTGTTGTCCTGAAGGCTGCAGAGATACGCCGTTGTTGTCCTGAAGGCTGCAGAGATACGCCGTTATTGTCCTGAAGGCTGCAGAGATACGCCGTTATTGTCCTGAAGGCTGCAGAGATACGCCGTTGTTGTCCTGAAGGCTGCAGAGATACGCCGTTGTTGTCCTGAAGGCTGCAGAGATACGCCGTTGTTGTCCTGAAGGCTGCAGAGATACGCCGTTGTTGTCCTGAAGGCTGCAGAGATACGCCGTTGTTGTCCTGAAGGCTGCAGAGATACGCCGTTATTGTCCTGAAGGCTGCAGAGATACGCCGTTGTTGTCCTGAAGGCTGCAGGGATACGCCGTTGTTGTCCTGAAGGCTGCAGAGATACGCCGTTGTTGTCCTGAAGGCTGCAGAGATACGCCGTTGTTGTCCTGAAGGCTGCAGGGATACGCCGTTGTTGTCCTGAAGGCTGCAGGGATACGCCGTTGTTGTCCTGAAGGCTGAAGAGATACGCCGTTGTTGTCCTGAAGGCTGAAGAGATACGCCGTTGTTGTCCTGAAGGCTGCAGGGATACGCCGTTGTTGTCCTGAAGGCTGAAGGGATACGCCGTTGTTGTCCTGAAAGCTTTCAGGGATACGCCAACAACAACAACAACATTTCCACTGGGTACTGTTTACATCAATGTAAACTGCGGGAGGTATCCACTTCAACCGGGTACTGTTTACATCAGTGTAAACTTGACATTTCCCTGATATCCTAAACATTGTGTCTCAGGACCTGTGGTGCCTTGAGTGACAATGTAGAGTGAGGTCTACCTCTCCTGCCTCGTCTACAGCCTCGAGGTACCCAATAAGTTATATAAGTCAACAATTCTTACCGAATTTAAGGTTGTGGATGTTGGAGTCGACATTTGCCTCAAGTGATGAGTCTGAGGATGTCACCCCGAAGGTGGGAACGGCTGCCTCTGTGTGTCTTTGACGACCAGAATATTTGTACATGTTTTACGTGAAGGGATCTTAAGGAGATGGAGGGAATGAACCTCGCTGAACAGGATTCGTTATGGAATAGTTGTCTCTGTGCCTGGCTTTAGTACTGTGCGCCAGATACAGACATTACTCAAAAGAGGGCTCTGTGCAGCAGACATAGACAACACCCACCAGAGAGCTCTGTGTACCAGACATAGACAACACTCACCAGAGGGCTCTGTGCAGCAGACATAGACAACACCCACCAGAGGGCTCTGTGCTCCAGACACAGACAACACTCACCAGAGGGCTCTGTGTACCAGACACAGACAACACCCACCAGAAGGCTCTGTGCACCAGACACAGACAACACCCACCAGAGGGCTCTGTGCTCCAGACACAGACAACACTCACCAGAGGTCTCTGTGCAGCAGACACAGACAACACTCACCAGAGGTCTCTGTGCTCCAGACACAGACAACACCCACCAGAGGTCTCTGTGTAGCAGACACAGACAACACTCACCAGATGTCTCTGTGCTCCAGACACAGACAACACCCACCAGAGGTCTCTGTGTACCAGACACAGACAACACCCACCAGAGGGCTCTGTGTACAAGACACAGACAACACTCACCAGAGGTCTCTGTGCTCCAGACACAGACAACACCCACCAGAGGTCTCTGTGCAGCAGGCACAGACAACACTCACCAGAGGTCTCTGTGTACCAGACACAGACAACACTCACCAGAGGTCTCTGTGCTCCAGACATAGACAACACCCACCAGAGGGCTCTGTGCTCCAGACACAGACAACACTCACCAGAGGGCTCTGTGCTCCAGACACAGACAACACACACCAGAGGTCTCTGTGCTCCAGACACAGACAACACCCACCAGAGGGCTCTGTGCTCCAGACACAGACAACACCCACCAGAGGTCTCTGTGCTCCAGACATAGACAACACCCACCAGAGGTCTCTGTGCTCCAGACCCAGACAACACCCACCAGAGGTCTCTGTGCTCCAGACACAGACAACACCCACCAGAGGGCTCTGTGCTCCAGACACAGACAACACTCACCAGAGGGCTCTGTGCTCCAGACACAGACAACACTCACCAGAGGGCTCTGTGTACCAGACACAGACAACACTCACCAGAGGGCTCTGTGCTCCAGACACAGACAACACCCACCAGAGGTCTCTGTGTACCAGACACAGACAACACCCACCAGAGGTCTCTGTGTACCAGACACAGACAACACTCACCAGAGGGCTCTGTGTACCAGACACAGACAACACTCACCAGAGGTCTCTGTGTACCAGACACAGACAACACCCACCAGAAGGCTCTGTGTACCGTCTGATTACGAACATGTTCCCAACGCTTTCAACCCAACAACTTGGTCATGTTTCGAACAATTTTTTCATATATAAGGGAAAGTATTTCAAGATAATATTACAGATTAGTTTCCTTGTTGGCACAAAACATTCCCATTCACTACAGTTGTTATATTCGAACAATATCCAGTGTGACGGCTTCCTCGAGAATCACAAACATCTCTGAAGTGTAAACAACGCCCAAGTGTTGAGTGTAAACACAATATATAACGCTGTACATTAATTCAACTGCTGTGTGAGAGGTAATGTTTACAGCGAGTCGTAGAGGACCACCTCCTTCACATCAAGGCTGAGCTGCTATTTCCCTGGGATGTTAATCAGTTTTTGAGAATATTTTGAATATTCCTGTTTAATATCCGCTCTTATATATACAGGACGATTTTTTATTGTCAAACCCAAAAATATGTTTTCAGAGGCACTGACCAAATTTTTATTTTCTCTCAGAGACGTGCACTTGAGGCAGATTCTGAAGGGATAGGAAATATTATGATCCAAAGACCCCAGACACTCTGGAGTTCCCAGGGGCAACTGGCCAGCTCTTGTTCCCTCACTCAAAAACATGTTGGGGGTGTGGGCCCCTACCCGGAAGGTTTTGTTGACGGGGATATGAAGCTGGACTATTCAGAGGCTGGTGTGGTGTTGGTCGAGGGAGTGGAGGCGAGGGACTTCTTGGTTGGAGGGCGGAGTTGTCTCTCTGGCGGTACCACAGGCCAAGGGGGCAGTATAAAGCAATTTTCTTTCTATTGAAACTAGCTTTATACAACCATTATTGAAGCTAGTTGTATTCAGCCATTACTGATGCTAGGAGCACTCAGCCACTACTGAAGCTAGCTATACTCTGCATATACTGAAGCTAAATGTATTTCTTGCCTTTATTGCCTCCGGTTGTACCCTGGCTTCACTGGAGCTAGCTGTACCCTGCCTTTACTGAAGGTACCAGAATGCGACCACTAGTGGACCTTTCAGCCCCTCCATGACTCTTAGACCCTCCCTACCTTTCAGAAACATTATGACCTTCCAACCCCCAACTCCCCCCTAGCTGTCCAGACCCCATCCGTCTCCCAAACACTCCTCAGACCCTCCTCAGACCCCTAGATAAAATGTGAACTCTGCTACCAGAGTTTCCAAGAAGAGTCACAAGGTGTGGTACACCAATACCGATGGGGTATCCAATAAAGCAGGAGAAATAAAATAAATAATTAGTGAGGCAGACGCTGACATAACTGCAATAGTGGAAACTAAAATAAATGACGTGATCTCGGATTCAATCTTTCCAGGGGGGTACCAAGTGATAAGAAAAGAAAGGACACAGAGGAAGAGAGGGGGAGTGGCACCCGCAATAAAACGGAAAGCGAAGTTTGAAGATCTGGAAAATCAGGGTACCAATGAAATCACAAACACCATACATGGAACTCTGACAGCAGATGGGAAGACTTTTGTGATCTTGATAATCAACAGTTCCCACCAAACAGTAGAAGTCCCAGGCTGGAGTATGATGACAACAACAAGACATGTATAGATGAACTGCAGAGGGAAGCAACAACAGCTCCCAGAATGAGAGCATTTGAGCACCTGGTAAAGCTAGGAGTAATCTCCCAAAAAAGAGCTAGAAACAAGGGGCTGGTGAACCGAAATGGAAATTATTAGATGAGATAATTCCTAAGAGAAATATCAGAAAAATAACAAAACTAAATATGTGGAACACAGAACTCAGAACTCAAACAGTACAAGACATGACGGACTATGTCACCCAAAAGTTTCAGGAAGTAGTAAGCAGGTTTATCCCGGCCCAAAAGGAAACAAATTAGAAGCAAAAGAAGAATCCGTGGTTTAATTGGGCATGTATGAAAGCAAAGGGACGGAACAAAAGGGCGTGGAGAAACTTCAGAAATATCAGAACACCAGAAAGCAGAGAGAGATACCAGAGAACCAGGAATGAATATTTCCTTGTGAGAAGAGAAGCTGAGAGACAGTATGAAAGTGATATAGCAAATAAAGCCAAGACCGAACCAAAACAGCTCCACAGCCACATCAGGAGCTCCACAGTCACAAGAGTGAAAGAACAGGTGATGAAACTTAGAACGGGTGAGAACAGTTACACAAAACATGACAAAGAGGTGTGTGAAGAACTCAACAAGAAATTTCAGGAATTCTTCACAATAGAATGAG